CCCCAAGCCTGTATCTTCAAGTGTTTTTCCCACACTTTCTTTGAGTATTTTTATTGTTTCATGCATTAGATTTCAATTTTTTTTTTTTTTTGGTGTGACAATTTCATTTTGTCACCCTAGGTAGAGTGCCATGGCATCACAACTCACAGCAACCTCAAACTTTGGGTTTAAGGGATTCTCTTGCCTCATCCTCCCAAGTAGCTGGGACTATAGACACCTTCTACAATGCCCAGCTTAGATTTAAATCTTTTATCCATCTCGAATCAATTTTTGTAGGTGGTGAGAGGTGTGGGGTACAGTTTCAGTATTTTATGTGTGGTTATCCAGTTCTTCCAGTACCATTTATTGATAGAGCTTCTTTTCCCCAGTGTATGTTCTTATTTGGCTTATCAAAAGGTTAGGTAGCTATAAGATGTTCTTTTCATTTCATGGTTTTCTATTTAGTTCCACATGTCTGTGTCTCTATTTTTATGCCAATACCTTGCTGTTCTGATTACCGTGGCCTTGTAGTATAGCTGAAAGTCAAGTAGGTTAATAGTCCCTGCTCTGTTCTTTATTACTAAGAATTGCCTTGGCTATATGGGGTTTCTTCTGGTTCCATACAAAATGAAGAATTATTTTTTCCAAATTTTGAAAGTAAGATGATGATGATTAATGGGGATTGCCTTGAATCTGTAGAGTGTTTTGGGTAGTATCGACTTTTTAACAATGTTGATTATTCCCAGCCACGAGCATGATATGTTCTTCCATTTGTTAATATGTTATGCTATTTCTTTTCTTAGGGTTTTGTAATTTTCTTTGTAGAGAGGGTCCTTCATCTCTTTTATTATGTGTTTTCCTACCTTGTTTCCCTGAAAATAAGACACTTTCTTATATTTATTTTTTTATCAAGAAGACACACTAGGGCTTATTTTCAGGGGATGTCTTATTTTAATTAAGTATAATACGACAATCTACATTTATTCAAATATAGTTAAGTCATCTTCTGGAACCTGACAGGGGGAGCCCACCTTGTTGGTGGAGCTAGTGCTAGTGATGTGTGAACTCCTTTCCCCTAGCTGTTTGTGTGCGTAATAGTATGCCTGCGACTCTGGTTACCACACGTGCACCTGCGCAGGTGCGAATGGCTCTGGGAAAGGAGCTGTGGCAGATGAAAAGTATTCACTCTTCCTTACTGCTCCACACCGAAATGCATGGCGTGGCTATGCAGTTTTTCTGCATAGCCATGCCCATCACTAGGTCTTATTATTGGGGTAGGGCTTATATTTAACAAACACATAGAAATCGTGCTAGGGCTTATTTTTTGGGTAGGTCTTATTCTTGGGGAAACATGGTAGGTATTTCTTTCTTTTTTTTTTTTATTTTTTTTTTTTTGAGACGGAGCCTCAAGCTATCCCCCTTGGTAGAGTGCCATGGCATCACGCTCACAGCAACCTCCAACTCCTGGGCTCAAGCGAGTCTCCTGCCTCAGCCTCCCAAGTAGCTGGGACTACAGGTGCCCGCCACAACGCCTGGCCATTTTTTGGTTGCAGCCATCATTGTTGTTTGGCAGGCTTGGGCTGGGGATTCGAACCTGCCACCTTAGGTGTATGTGGCTGGCGCCTTAGCCGCTTGAGCCACAGGCGCCGAGCCTCTTTTTTTTTTTTTTTTTTAAGCTACTGTGAAGGGAATTGTGTCCTTAATTAGCTTCTCATCTTGGCCCATATTGGCATATCCAAAGGCTACTAATTTGTGGAAATTGATTTTGTATCCTGAGACATTGCTGTATTTTTTATCACTTCAGGAGTCTGTGGTTGAGTCTTTGAGGTTCTCTAAGTATGAGATCATATCATTGGCAAAGAGGGAGAGGAGAGTTTGACCTCCTCTGCTCCCATTTCGATGCCATTTATTTCCTTCTCTTGCTAGATAGTATTGGCTAGAACTTCCAGCACTATGTTGAATAGTAGTGGTGATGGAGGACACCCTTGTCTGCTTGTCCAGTTCTAGGTGGAAAAGCTTTCAGTTTTACTCTATTCTGTATAACATTAGCTATGGGTTTGTCGTAAAGGCTTCAATCATATTAAGAAATGTGCCAGCTATGCCTAAATTCTTAAGTGTTCTAAGTAGAAAAGGATGCTGAGTTTTTAGCAAATGCTTTTTCTATATCTATTGAGGGGATCATATGGTCTTTGTTTTTGCTTCTGTAGATATAGTGAATTATGTTTATGGACTTGTGTATGTTAAACCGGCCTTGCATCCATAGGATTAAAACCCACTTGATTGTAATGAATAATTTTTTTCATGTGTAGCTGTAATCTGTTGACTAGGATTTGATTGAGAATTTTTGCATCTATATTCATCAGTGAAATTGGTCTGAAATTCTTCTTTTTAGTTGGGTCTTTACCTGGTTTTGGTATCAGGGTGATGTATGCTCTATAGAACATGTTAGAGAAGATTCCTTCCTTCTCAGTTTTTTTTTGAATAATTTCTGCAGTATGGGTATAAGCTCTTCTTTGAAGGTTTGATAGAATTCTGGTGTGAAGCCATCTAGACCAGGGCTTTTTTTGTTCAGAGGTTTTTTTTGTTTCTTTGATCTCAGTTCTTGAAATCGATCTGGTCAAGAGATCTGTTTCTTCTTGATTAAGTCTAGAGAGAGGGTGTGAT